GTATCTCCTCTTGCTCCATGAAATTATGATGGAATGGTTGTCTCAACCAAGAGTTCTGGCCTACTAGAGGCATTCGACAAGGAGATTTGCTTTCACCCTACATATTTATGATATGCATGGAACGACTATCCCATTGCATCAACACTTTAGTAAGAAATGATATGTGGAAGTCGATCTGTCTTGGTAAAAAGGGTCCTGCCCTCTCACATCTTTTTTTTGCAAATGACCTGGTAATCCTTGAGATAGCCACTGATGACCAGACTCGATTATAAAGAAAGTCTTAGAGAAATTCTGTGTGAGCTCTGGTCATAAAGTGAGTGCAACTAAAACACTTACTTTCTTTTCTCACAATGTTACCACAGGTGAAACTAGTCGTATTATTAAGATGTTTGGTTTTCAAGTCTTTAATAATCTTAGTAAGTATTTGAGAGTTCTGTTGTTACATGATAGAGTCAATAAAGATACTTTTTATTATATCTTTGAGAAGATTAACCAAAATTTATTTGGTTGGAATGCTAACTTTCTTTCATTTGCAAAGCGTTTAACTTTGGTTAAGTCCATTCTCATGACTATCCCTGCTTATGCTATGTAGACCACGGTTTTGCCTAAATCCCTATGTCATCATATTGAAATGGTGGTCAGGAAGTTTCTCTAGGGCCAGGAGAATGACAATCGAAAAATCAAATTTGTCGGTTGGGATGATATGTGCATGCCTTATGACGCTGGGGGAAACGACCTTCGGTCTATCCATAAACAAAACCAAACTTTCTTGATGAAATTGGGATTTGCTATAGTTGCAAAGCCCGACCTCCTATGGGTACAGGTCCTCACCCACAAGTACAAATGACTTGGTTTATCGCAGAATTACAAGTCGAAGGTAACGATCTCTCATCTTTGGCACAACCTTAACCATCTATGGACGAATCTTGGAGTTAGCATCAAATGATCCATTGGTTCAAGGAGAAATGTTAGGTTTTGGGAAGACTGCTGGTTAGGGGACCTGGGGCCGCTTAAGCTTTTAGCTTTTGCACCTATTGATGAGTAGGATCTCCACATATATGTTAGGGACTACGTGATGTTGTCTGGCCAATGGGATTGGGAGGCCCTGTATCGGGTGTTGCCAATGGGTACGTTGCTTTAGATGGTAACAGTACTGACTCATAAAGATGATAATATTCCGGACTCCTGCTTTTGGGGTATGACGAGCTCTGGGTGCTTCACGGTTAGCTCAGTTTACGCCCTCCTGGAGAGCGATCATGGGCACCCAGATGATAGGAATTTGAGAGACATTTGGCGTTAGTCAGGTGCTCAACGGTTGCGTATATTCCTTTAGTTGGCTGCTAAAGGAAAGCTTTTGACGAATTGAGAGAGATACCAACATCACATGTCCTCTACTGTAGAATGCAGTAGGTATGGAAACCCTATTGAGGATGTGGATCATATTCTCCATAATTGCAGCATGGCCAAGCTACTGTGGTTGAAAATCATATCTACTGAAGCTCAATCAACTTTCTTCAGTTGTATTATGGATGAATGGTTTGTGCTGAACCTCAAAAACAATTGTCCCTAGTGCAAGACATTTCAAGATTAGAGAGTGATCTTTGGTCTTACTTGTTGGAGCTTGTGGAATCATAAAAATAAATTTATTTTTTAAGAGAGTGAGAGTCGTATCGATGAGCTTGCTAAAGATGTGTTCTTCATGACTGATTATACTTTTATGGCTAATAATATGAATCTTTGTTTTCTTTCAGGTATGGTGCACAGATTGGAAGAACTTGTAACTTAGCAGAAACCACTCAAGGATTAGTTGAAGGTGAACACTGATGGTGCTTATCATGTTACAACTAATCTCGCCTGCTATGGCGGACTTATTAGAGCTGAGGATGGTGCTTGCTTGAGAAGTTTCGATAGAAAAATTAGCAAATGCTCTGTTCTTCAGGCCGAGATTTAGGCTGTCTTCGATGGTTTTTAACTTGTTTGAAATGTCGAATTTTGTAGTATTATTTTGAAAATAGATAGTGCTCTGTCAGTGCCGTTACTCACTATGGAGGATTACGGTACTAATGCGCATGCTGCTATCATTCGTAAGATCAAACACTTACTACTGTAAAATTAACGAGTTCGAATCCAACATGTCTATCGCGAAGGAAATAAATGCGCCGACCGGTTAGCAAATACTAACTTTTTTCTATCGATGAGCCTACATTCTCATGTTTAAATGCTGAATGATCTCTAACAGCTCCTCATTGACGATATCATGTGCGTCTCTTAACCCCGGATTTACATGACGATTTCTTAATTTTCTTTTAGTCTTTGTCTCTTCTTGTACAAAAAAAAAGTTACATATATACATATAATATATATATATATATATGATTTAATTGTAGCACAAAATTTTTTTCAGTGATTCAATTCATCAAAACTCTCAATAAATCAAAATTAGATTTATAGTTTTTGTTAAGCACAGACCGGTTATATGATTAAATTAACATTAATGTAAATTTTTTAATCAAACAGTTAGTATATATATTGTTAATTTTTAATAAAAAATTATTTCAATTATATAGTTATAAATTGTAGTTAAATCAGTCAAAAAAAAAAGTTGGTCTCTGATCTTATAATATATCTAGATAAATATCATTTAAAGTGGGGTAAATTGTGATTGATATATGTGTATCAAGTAATTAATCAATCTATCAAAGTTTATAATCAATTTTTCAATTGTCTCACTCAAAAACAATATATATATATATATATGTATTGACATATTTTTTTATTATTACTGGAAAAAAAAATAGACTAATTAGGGCATAAATTTGTAATTAATATAAAAGAATATTATTTTTATTTAAATTTTTGTGAATTATATTGTAGTTACAGTAAGATATAAACCAAGCTTTTCTTTCTAACTAGTTTCTCAAACTACAAACCTCCATTTTTGATCACTTCAACTTCACCGATCATCTCCATTACTCTTTTCTCTCAACAATGGAGGCCCGTGAGATGAAGATACTAGCTGCTCCACCCCGCGTCAACCCACTTCCAAACACACTCTCTCTCTGTTCCACTCCATCATCAGCGTCTCAACTCATCATAAACAAGCAGCCCTGCAGCCATGAATTCAGTCTTGACCATTCCACCACCTCCACAGCTTTCTTCAATAGATTCTTTAACCAAAGGAGTTTGGTAGTTAAGATTAGTTCAATTAATTACAAATTAATTAACTAATCATTTCCTTAATCACTTCCTATAAAAGCCACAAACCCGAAACCTCTCTCTTTCTCTCTTTCAAACGTTTCCCATCTTCAGTCAGTCTTTTCTTGATTCCATATCTTGCAATTTCTATTGCAAGTCGAGTGGAGGGAGCAATGAAGAGCTTTAAAGAAACATTATCCATGTTCTATCCACGAGTGACAAATGATCATTCACGGTCACCATCATTCATGGACTTTGAGTTGGGTGCTGACGAGATATCTCTGCCAAACCCAACTTCATCTTATGACGAAGAACTGGAGATAATGTTCGCCTTTTGTCTTAGCTCTTCTATCGAACTAGTTGCATTGGATGCTTAGCTGGGCGACTCCTACACCTTTCCTGTTGGTCGAACTCCTTTCTCTGGTTCCAACTTTGCTGCGGCAGTCATTATCTCTCTAAATATATTATTATTTCTTCATGAAAAAAGTCCCCTCATCAATATTTATATCACTTATATAGATAATCAGTAAATATATATTATATAATTATAATAATATAATCAGTAATTGTTTGCTTATCCTTCTTTTTTGTTCTTCTTGTGACTTCCTCAAACAACTAGATGTAACAAAGCTTAATTACCATCAGGAAAGCCAAGAAAAAGCATCATGCTTCAGGATTCTTTCTCCGTTAGAATCATTAACAATTACATATGTGCATTAAGTTATACATGTAAATATATATAAATATATATAGGATGCGATAATCTATCTTCATCTTCTTTTATTATTATCTATTTTAGTATGAACTGAAAAAGTGCCTGGAGCGTCCAATAATGATTAAAGAAATGACAGAAGCAGCTTAAGACAAGCACTTAAGCCAGAAAGGAAAAAGAACTGAAATGGCGATTAAAAATGCCATGACAAGAAAGCTGCCAAAGCAAACCTGAAATGAATATATTTCCCAATTCAAGGCGGGAATGATGGTGAGTGTGGCCGTGAATGATCACTTCTCGGTCGTGGATAAAACATAGATAATGTTGCCTGAAAACTCTTCATTGATCCTTCCACTCGAGTTGCAGTAGAAATTCACAAGAAATCAAAAGAAACGGAATCAAGAAAATACTGTGATTGAAGGTGGCAAACGTTCGAAAGAGAGAGAGGGAGAGAGATTTCGGGTTTGTGGCTTTTATAAAAAGCAATCAAGGAAATGGTTAGTCAATTAATTTGTACTTAACCAAACTAATCTTAACCACCGACTGTTCTAGTCAAAGAATCTGTTGAATAAAGCTGTAGAGGTGGTGGAATGGTTTATGATGAGTTGAGACACCGATGATGATGAAAGCTGCAAAATCCACCCAGATTATTGAACATCATGAATCCGAATATATACGGTGTGACATATAGACATATTTAGAAAAAGAAAGTATAGATGAAAACAGACCAAGAAACATTTCACCAAATGATCCACTGCCGATCTTGCAGCCAAGCTTGTATTTACCACCAACGATGCATTCCATGTCCGTGATTAACTAATCGGATCAAATCATGCAAAAAGACCTAGGATTTTCAGGGTTTTCACTGTTTATCTCACGAACAATTTTTTTAATTATTATTGAGGACGATTATTTACTCGTGGTTAAATTATATATCAAAATTATCTTAAGATTTTAAACAAATTATTTTACTTCATTTATTTATAATTTTTCTCAGTTAAAAATAATCATAATGAATTATATACTACTTTTTGAAAGAAAAAAAAAAAAACATAAACATTATGTATATAACTTTTAATATTAAAACAAAAAATTTCCAGAAAAAGGAAATGGGAAGCTTTCACTTCTGATTTCAACTTGGATTTTGTAATGTACACTGCTATATGCTTGTACCAGTGCCTAGACTGTAAAAAAATTGAAACCTTTCCTTGACTTCGATTGTTGACCATACTAGGAGATCAATGGATGCTCCCATCACAGAAATAGTCTTAGCAAAATCAATTGAGACACCAACAATTTAATGCTATAGAGAGCTAAGATAGTCCTTTATCAAACTGAAGGCAGGGTTGGTATAAGGAGCTCCCTCCAATTTCTGAAACATAATCCCGTCCATCCGGGCTTGAACTCCCTCCGAAAATGTCAATTCTTGTAGCAATTCTTTCAATGTTCTGTCAACTCCGATTACAGAGTTTCCAATGCCACTTAATATCTCTGGAAGTGTAGGAGAAGGTCTCGAAATTTCAACAATAGTGACCTAGATTGTAGCACAAACATCAAACCGGTTTTAGTTAATTCAGAAACTACCACATCTAACATCTTCCATCATTATCAAAAGCAAATGCAAATAAGTTTTCAAAAAGAGAAAAAATAACATAGAAACTTGCCCAAGCGCTCACATGCTAACCTAAGGCAAAACAGTTGCTTGTCTTTCCGCAATATATCCTGCCAAGTCTTTCTCTCTCCTTTCCACTGAAGCAGGTTACTTTTTCTCTTGGTTGGAAGTGGAATAACGAACAAAACATAAATCACTACCACCACTCCTTGGTTAAAAGATTGCTTTAACCATGTCTATTGAGCTTCTCCTAATTTAAATAATACTAGCCTCAACAAACACAACCACTTCTCTAAATAGTCTTAATATTTTTATCACGAGATATTCATGAATAAGAAGTCACATAAATTCAGCAGAAAATAAACAGTACCCTGAAACCTTTGAGCTTAAAGAGTGCCCAACTGTTCAATTTTTTTAAAGCCAGCTCATGGATTATTATAATTAAGTGGGCACCATTTGTTGACAAGAGCATCTGCTCCAAAAAGCACTCCTCTCCTTTAGGTGAGGGCCTCTTCACCAAAAAAGAACCCGGCTCCATTTCTTAATTACACAAGTTACAGCACCAATAAATAAGTTGTCTAACCTAAAATATAAATAAATAAATAAATAAAAACTGATAAAACAAATTACCAACCTGACGGTCATGAGGTATATTTGCCTTTTGTTTTGCTATAGCTATTGCACGAGAAAACCCACCAATAGCATCAACTAAACCTCGTGAAGCTGCATCTTTACCAGTCCAGACTCTGCCTTGTGCAACCTCTTCAATTTTATCTACCTGAAAATGGATAAGAAAACTCAGAGTGATTCATATTCACCCTTCTGTAGAGCATCAAAAAAGATTCTAACGTCCAAAATAACATTAATTTTACCAACATACAGGCATGGATCTTGAAAAAGCGGCTTTATCTCGAAATAGCTTATATGCATTCTCTGCAGATTTAGCAAAAAGCTCTGCCTCATCTGGTCTGAGAAACTAAATCTGGTTATTTTCCAGCAGTACTAGAGCATGTGAAGAGAGAAGCAAAGAAGAAAAGCATCCATCTTGGATCAGCCCAGTGGAAAGTAGAAAAAAGTTGCATCAAAAGGCATCAAGAATGATGGCTAAATGGAAATTAAGAAAAAGAGGGAGAGAGACTGAGACAGAAGCGAATTGCAGGAATGGATGATATACTATGCTGGTTTGAACATGATGAACTAAAAATATAAACAATGCAATATTGCCACCAACCTAAAAGATCGCTGTTCAGCAGCCAGAAGCTCAGCAAATCTTCCTCTTGATATTGTCTCCTTATTAAAGCCAATCTTGTCATATAGTTTTCCCAAGTTAAATTTTGCTGAAAAAAAAATCTGGCATTAGCATCCATTAGATTATAAAAATTCAAAAAGTCATGCTTATGAAGGGAAAAGTGAACCTCCATTTTGTGTCATTGCTAAAAATCAGACAGTTCACTGTAGCAACTCTAAGCATATATAGCACATGTGCAATCAAGCTTGGAAGAAACATTACAACATTTTACTAATCCTTTTTTTAAATAAAAAAACAGGTAACATTTTACTAATCCTATGTTTGGTTCAAACCTATTTTATTTTGAGGCCCTATTTGGTTGTGCTTAAAGGCTTTGAATTTTATGCTTCAAAAGCATTTTTGTAACCAAACAAATAAAATTCAAAGTGCTTCTGAAAAAAGGCAAAGATAAAATCTACTTTTAACACGTTTAAATACAAAAACTACAATGTGTTACCTTAAAAAATGGCTTCAACTTTTATCAAAACTTTACACTTGACATCTTAAAAGTCAATTTTACCAAACACAGTTCCTATTTTTCAAAATGACAACATTTTCCGTAGTTATTTCTACCAAACATTAAATAACTTTTGAATGAAAGCTATTTTAGTGAATAAGTATTTTAATAACACCTTTAAAACTCACAACATAAGTTACAACTACCCCAAAGCTCACTCATTCAATTCTTAGATCTTAGTCTTTGACATGTAGAAATTAATATAGCTTACACACTTGATACATAACAAATCAAACTTTGCTTATATCTTCAGTCCCACAACCTAGATTTGTATTCTCATGTTTCAAGAAAACTTTAACTGAACTTGAAATAAACATGGAAATAAATTCAAGTTAGAATGCTATTTTCATTCAAATTTTAATACTATTTGTTTGTATTCTCATTCTTATTCCATAAAATTTAAACTTGAACCAACCTCAACATAAGAAGAAATAAAAAATGGTTGAGAAATGTTAACGAAATAGAAGAAATGCACCAAATATTCCTTATGATTATGCATAGATGAAAAGGTTTTGAGTTAAGATATAGTAGTATGAACTCATTCTTTCTTTATTTAATTATTCTCTATTATAATTTATTCCAATTAATTAGTTTATTTCCCTATTTAGTAGGATTCTTAGATGAATATTCTAACTTTGTACACTGATACTTATAAATAGAATATTCTAACTTTGTTATTTTGTATACTATTCATACGATTACTATACAAATATTGAATTATTGAATTGATTATTGAGATTTCAGATCTTCAATTTTGGGTCTTAATAATTTTTTCTAAGTATGACACTCAATCTTTCTTTATTCTACATCAGATAATTTTATTGACATAAAAGGAAGAGAAGAATAATTGATACATTAAATTTTCTGATGTAACTTTGAGATAATGTTGGTGTTCTCCAATCAAAATTAATTTTCTCTATTAAAAAATCCTAACAATTTCATATATAGAAGGTCTCAGAAAAGGATAAGTACTCATATTTACCAGTAACAACTCCAATGGAACCGGTCAACGTTAAATTTTCAGCCAGAATAACCCCTGCACCCATTGCCATATAGTACCCTCCACTGGCAGCCACATCAGCCATTGATGCAATGACAGGCTTTACTGCAGCCAGAAGTCTGATTTCCCTCCACATTCTGTGTATGATAACTCAAGGTTAATTAGGTGAAATAGTGGATCTTTTTTCCTGAGGGAGAAGCAAAAGTAGAATTTTTATTTTTAATAAAAGAAGACTAAATTTCGTTCAAGAGAAAGATAATGTAGAAAATTATACTTTACACTTCTTCAAACCCCCTGCTCATGCATGCACACTAAGATACATTTCTTCTTAACAAGATCATTTCTTCTCAATAGCATAAAAATTGCCCAATAATATAAAATTAGTGGCAACATATGATAGAATGCCTCTTTCATGTAACGTTTGTTAATGGATAAATAGAATGCCTAATACAATTGGAGATGCTATGAACAATGAAAATGAAAGTATCTGCATCTTCCGGTATCACTATTGTGCTTTCTATATTATGCATAACACGGAGATACCTATATTTAGGTTAAGGAGTTTAATCTCTTCATCGCATGCCAAACATCTTACCAAAAAGTTTAAGCTCTTAAAAGAGTGTATAAGCTTCCTTTGATGAAAAAACTAAAGGTAAGTCAAACACTCTTAAAATGTCTTGGGAACTAACTAATTGTAAAACTGACTGCCTAACAGATGAACTTCAGTTAACTAATCGAGAAATAAACAGAGGTTGATACTGAAAATATAACTTAAGTAAATACAGCTAGCAAATCCAACAGAAAAGCACCGTACATAAGTAGCAGTACTTACAAATCAGAAGCAAGGGCATCACCTCCTGGGCTATCAATGCGGAGGATAGCTGCTTTAAATTTTTTGGATTCTAAGGAAAAATAAATAAATTTTAAGCAGTTAGTGGGAAAGAAATTATAGTCCAAGAGGATGCAAAGAAGCAGTAGTCAATCAGGATGCAAAAGAATATAATGCAGGGATTAAAATGAAAAAGCTACAAGGAAAAATAGCCAGGAAAAAGGAAAGGAAAAGCACTCATAATACAAATCCCTTCAAAATTTTCAGTTACTTTTTTTTGAAATTTAAGCCAAAAAACAAAATCTCAGTTACTTCGTACCATATCCTGAAGGAGAATATACATGTATTTCCACTTTCTAAAGCTACTTATCATAAAAATTCTAGAAAGCACTATTAGTGGAAGCAAATAAAACCAGCATGTCCCCTTCTCATACAATGGGATATCAACTTTTTTGAAAAATTTCAGTTCACCCTCCAGAAATCAGTTAACTAAGGAACAGATTTACAAGGATGGCCTTGTGCATATCTTCTATTTCCTTACTAAAAAAAACCAGGGGCATCTAGCACAGATCTTCTCAGTGGAGGTGGACTCAAAGAATCTACCATACCTCTTTTTTAAATAGAGAATCCAGCATACCTCTTATAGTGCGAATCTTCTCAATGAACTGCTCCCCTATTACACCTGAACTAGGCACACTTAAGGGACTCCGAACACGACTGATGCTTCCAGAGGCTCTGATAACCGCAATTAGGTCCTTACCCCCTGTTAAACCAAGAGTCCATTTTCTAACTCTAGAGTACTTGCTGCAGTATACCGGGAGGACAAGTGTTAATATTTTCAATTTAAAAGTAGCACGATACCTAGCAAGCTATTATAATCATAAGAAATTATATAAAGAAAAAAGAGAGCTATGATATGCATATAAGAAGTTAATGAGATCAGGAAAAGAGAGTTAAGATTTCTAGATAATTAATCTTTTCACAAGTGTAAAAAATGACTCATGTAACACCAAGAGGTGTTGATATGCCCATTGGTATTAAAAGCATATCATTCTTTTCAGTTCTTGCGACCAGGCATTCTCATATATGCCCATTGGGATCAAATTTGCTGTAATACCTCTGATAGCACTTAAATGACAAAAAAATATATGCACGAAGATAGAAGAGAAGAGGTGGCACAGAGAGAGAGAAACAGATGAGAAACAAACTGGGTTTTCTTTTATCGGATGCCAATTACTCATTGATCAGGTACTTATACCTGATTCCTTTAGTTACATCACATAACTGTTTCTGTTATTAGTTATACTTCTGTTTTATTCTCTTTCCTTAATCAACATTTAAAATTCCTAATTCCCATAGCACAATGAAACCCTAATTTCTCAACTATATACATATCACTTGGCGTCTAGAGATTCACCCTTTCAAGAGAGGAATCCAAGATCTAAGGGTAATTGGCAAGTTCTTAATTTTAAACCATTAATATGAAAAGCTTAGGGAGGTCATTCATACTTTTCGACTTATCTCAGATTTTAGATCCTATCACTTGCTATTGCAACACTTGAAAGTTAGCACTCCTGGGGAAGACACATAAACTAATCCAAATTTTGGTACCTCATTTGGTTGGAAAAAGGTTTATATTTAATGAAAATTGTAAACCTAAGGAAGAAAATTTCTTTTCCCTAGATAGTAAAAGGGTATTTATGACTGTAACATCATTTTGCCAGGTTCCTGTTACTTGGATCGTAACTGATAGAAAAGGGAATCAAATTGAGAAGAAAAAGCCAGAAGATGGAGAAGACAACAGAGAACGCAAGAGAGAACTGAAAGGAAATTGCAGAAGCTGCAAGAATAACAATATTTCATTCACTTTTTACAATAGCAAGACTTAAAACATTCAGCTAACGTGCTTCCTGTTAAACAAAACCAATGACAAGGCTAATTGCTTGCCAAAATTCAGGAATGGAAGCATTAATGACAAAACAAACTAAATTATCAAAGAATTTGCCAATGTTAATATCTGCTTAAGGAACAACCATGCAGCACAATTAATTCCATACTAGTAAACAGGATCAACTCAGCAACTCCATCTAAGCAAATAGTTCTTAACACGCTACCTCTATATGAGGGTTTGCCCAATACATAATGGGCGAGAGTAAGTGAAGCAGCATGGGGTAGACCAGGTAAGGCCCTTATCCTACAAGAACAAATTTTTCCTATGATATTCCCAGGAAAAGGAAGTCATTGAGACTGAGAACTATGATGCTATAAATGTGATCACACAATCAGAAAATGGATATCACTCCTTGAACTTCATAAAGTAATTAAACCATAATTAACTTGCAGTCCCAAAGCATAACAACCCAACAATCCAAACATTGATACATGCAGTTCCTTAAGCTGCAGTAAGAAATACACTACCTGTAATCAACCCGGGGAAGACTTTTATCTTTTTGAACTCCAAGTCTCTCTTTCAACATATAGATAATCTGAAGGGATTCAGAATGAAAAAAGAAAAATACAAAATCATTTCTGAATTTCAGAGGCTAGATTTAACCAACATGATGGCTAATTTTACTCTATCAAAGAATCTCTGCTTTAGAACTTTCTCCTAGGCAAACACTTTTGAGTTGCTCCTGAATATGTATAATTAATTAGTAGACCTGACACCAAATGGAAGTGCAATGCCACCGCACAGGTATCTCAAAATTGTCAGTCAGGAAACAATTAGAAAATGCTGATTCTTTCTCCTATTTTCTAATGCAAACTAAGGAAAGGTTATATACCTCATCCTCATAGCGTATGTCTGTTATCAGGCCATTTTCTTTCATCATTTCTACTTTGTAAACACCCTCATTAATGAAGTTCTCAATATCCTCTCGCTTTTTCCCTGTGTAAATTTTACTGTAAATTTCATTTGATACATTAAAAGTGATCCAAAGCCATGAACAGAGTACGGCACCTTTTGTAGAAGAAACAATATCCAGCCAGTTCCCATAAATGTTATCAAGCAGTGCATTCAGCATCTCATAATTTTCTTGAGATATATTTTTCCTGGAAAGTTGGTCTCCAGCACTTTTGTATTTACCAATTCTTTGCACTTGTGGCTCAATTCCTACTTTCTCAAAAACACCTGCAATTTACACTTGCTAAAAGCTGTTAAAGGTAAATTAAAAGCCATAATTATGGCAGAGACACTCTCGAAAGTGGAAACCTCAGAAAAAGAATTTTTGTATGCAACTTATAAAATTAATCTGTTTAAGTGTATCCACAAAAACGAATTGGCTTAACATGAACATTTAGAATGCCTGCCTTCCAGCTTCATATTTCACATTAATTGAGTCAATCCAATAATATTCATGCTCCAACAATTAGCTAAGTAAACAAACAACCGCAACAGGAAAATATGTTGCATCTCCATTAGAAAGGAGACTAAAACTGCTCCACTGGCCAATGGTTAAAGGTGTAAGAAGACGTTCCTACATGACATGAGTAAATTACTGACTCACACCCTCCAATTAGAGCTAACATGGATTTATTTTCTCAGAAAATAATATTTACGAGAAGGTTAGATTGGCCATATATCTAGCCAGAAACAACGACTTTACTTTCTTTCAATCTCTCAAGTATTAACAATGGAACTAGTATGCTATTATTGTCTAATGAGCTATGAGAGTAGCAGGCAAGAAATATGGTAGTAGCAGGCAAGAATCAGAAAGAACAAATGTCCTATTGATTGCAAGACACAATGCAAACAAAACGGTAAAACCAAATACCATCACATCCTAACAGACATAGTCCTTTTAAAAGTTTGGAAAAGGAAAAGATGAACAGTTCTCAACTAACCTCCAAGGAAAGATGCTTGAACGGTCAAACCATACAAAAAAAAATAAGCACTTGGAGGTGCATATAGCTCGTCACATGCACAAGCAAGATAATACTCTTTTTCTCCACAAACAGGAAGATAGCTGACGATGAATTTACCTGCACATTTCATAATGTTTTAAGAAACTACAATGCTATTCATTTAGTGCATAACACAAAATAACATCTAATGCCACCCGCAGACTCGCGAGCATAACAGAATGAAATAGAGACATTTCAGATTCTTATAAGATAAAATGAAAGGAGCCTCACAATTCCAAATGATATAACTTCAGTAAAATTGGTAAAAGAAGACGATAAATGACACGCTCTATGCATGTTGCCAAGCAAAACATATGGTTTTAAGTCAATTTTCTTTGATGCTCATATATTTAACTATTTTATACACAATTTAACTATTTTATATATTTGATGCTCATATATTTAATTTCATAATAATATATGTCTTTCCACGAAAGCACTATCTCTAGTCATACATAATTAAATCGACTCTTAATAATTCAATTGCACAATAATATATTTATATTGCTACTTGTTGGTCAGGAATCACAAACAGTCTAAATTAAGTTAGACATAAAATTTACTTAAAATTAAAATATTATTTTGTTCAGATTCTATCTCCTTTATATTTTTTTAATGTCCCATTTTATAAAATTGAATTTAAGCGAACTCAACTTAAAACCCAAAATTATTAGGAAAATCCCATATTGTTCTGCCATACATTTTGATAGTTTCCAAGTACCGTTGAAGCAAAACGTCATGCTTTAAAAAGATACCTGACTTCTTGAAATCTAACACGTGTCTTCGAATTTCTTCAACTTTTCCCCACCCACAATTCAGGGGTTCAATGTGAAGATAGATACCAGCAACACGAGGATCATAAGCGGCTTTTATGAAATTTTCACAAATTTGAGGAAGAGACAGTCCTGAAGAGAAACGGCTCTTTAGCTGATCAGATATCTGAGCATAAAAGAAGAGGAGAAGAAGCCTTCAAGTCCAACATAAAATCTAACATATAATATATTCAAGTCACAATAGAACCATATTAACATAGATTTTAATAAATTATACGCGTTTCTTTCACCAAATTGAAGGCACAAACCAAGCAATTTTATCTACAATGCAGGATGATTTGAGCAAGAACTTTTCAAAAACAGGAATTCTTGGCATATTCTGAACAACTTCTTTAAGAAATTCAAGAGCGATCAAAGAAATGAAAAGAAGAAAAAAAAAAGATGAAGAGCAGAACCTGGCCACGAAGTTTCATGGTCAAGACACTGCCCTTGCGAACGCGTTCCCAGGGGAAGGCAATCAGCATACGAAGCTTCACTATAAAACTCTTCCAAGCATTCATTTTCTCGTACACAAACTCTCCACTTGGAAAATCCTCAGGTTTCCCCATCAAAACCTCTCTTTCTTCTTCTTCTTTTACTTTTTCATTTTCTGCTTCTTGTTGTTGTGGTTGTCGTCTGGTATCTGATGGAGAGGAGGAATCATCGAAAGCTCGAGCGGAGAAGCTCCTCCTTTGGTAATGAGACGAAGAGGAAGAAAGGGAATGGGGGAGGAGGAGGGAAGAGGGAGGATTGGAGAGGAAAGCAAGGGGATAGTATCGAAGAGGAGAAATAGAAGAAGTGAGGCTAGGTCGAGAGGAGAAGACGGAGATGGCGGCGAATGTTGTATACTGATGAATTCTTGGAGTAACGTGAGGAGATTGGAGGAGCAGAAGCTTAGACATTTGAACTGGCGGAGAGCCTCTTGAGCTTTGTAGAAGAAGAAGAAAAAGAAAATGAAAGCCGATAAAAAAGGGCAGAGAGAATGATGACAGGATGAATTTGCCTCCACGTTGACACTTTTTCGAGCGTGACACGTCGCCGTTTCATGGATATTTTACCTTCACGTGAATTATCATTCGTCAGAATAGCCGCTAGATAATAATTCAATAATAATTTTGTCTAAATAAATTAAATTTCGGGTAATCCGGAATTAATTATAATGATGAGATAATTAATTATAATATAATTAAGTTATAATAATTAAAAAAGAAACCAACACCTACTACGCGGACTCTCAATTAAAGCCCAGTGGGGAAACAGGCCCGCACAAACTATTGCAACGGATCGGGTACCGACGGCCCGTTTTTTAAGAATTTTTCAAATTATAATAAAAGAAAATGTTTTAAGGGATGTAATTAATGTTAAAGAATTTTCAGTTCCCTGGATTGTTGTGAACATTTATGTTGGTTCCAAACAGGGAACATGGGAGTTAGTTCACATATCACAGTTGAATTAGGCATTGTGGTGAAGACATTTAAATCCATTCTTGAGTACGTACATGTTGCATGTGCCATGGTTTCGTGCAAATGTGTGTATCCAATTAATCCACAGCGGATCCCTAGTGTCCCGTTTTGTTCCATAAACAACTCGCAATTTGGTGGGTTACGACTAAATTTCCAAACCCATTGTCGGGAAGCTCTCTGATCTCGAAAGCCGTCGTCCCGATGTATACCCTAATTTTATTTTTGTCGTTGGATTTGAACCCACAATTTTGTAATTTGAATGTTGTATAAGGTGTATGTATATGGGTGAGGGACGTATAGAATATATTTATGTAGGGAGAGAAAGGGGGGTTGAAATAAGCAGGAGGGGGATGAAAGC